CAACCTGTTCCAGTGCATCATCACCCTCTGAGTGAAAAACTTCCTCTGAATATCTAACCTAAATTTCCCCTGTCTTTGTTTAAAACTGTCACGGTTTTGTAATTTTGCTATTGGTATTCCACATCATGACATCATGTGGAACACAGATAATTAATGAATTAATGTCCCAGTTCTGTGGACTGACAACTATCCAGATACCTGATTCTCAAAAGAAAAGAACTTCATGTCCTAGGGGACCTCACGGTCAGAGAGGACGATACATCACGGAAATCATGGGATTTCACTCTCGGACGGGAGCTTCCGTCTCTCTCTCACTCACTGCCTGGCAAAGGGTGTGGGTGTGCTTTCAAGCCGTGTGCCTTCAGTTCAGGTTTTCTCACGGGCACAGATTGATCTAGATAGCTCAGTGACAAAAATCATTCCCCCTTGTCCTATCACTATCTACCCTCGTAAACAGTTGTTCCCCCTCCTGTTTGTACGCTACCTTTGAGTACTGGAAGGCCACAATGAGGTCTCCCCGGAGCCTTCTCTTCTCCAAGCTAAACAAGCCCAGTTCCCTCAACCTTTCTTCATAGGAGAGGTGCTCCAGCCCTCTGATCATCTTAGTGGCCCTCCTCTGGTCTCATACCAAGAGCTCTGCGTCTTTCTTGTGCTGGGAGCCCCAGGTCTGGACACAGTAGTCCAGATAGCGCATAATATTCCACTGCAATAGGAGTCTTTATGCTTTGCAAAAGTCTTAAAATTTCTTCCTTGTGTTTAATTTCAGTTCCTTGTGCAGATAGCAGTCCTCTCTCCTTCCATATAGCCCCACGCACATGCGCTACTCCAAATGCATATTTTGAATCCATCCAAATGTTTACAAGTTTTCCTTCACTCAGTTGTAGTGCTCGAGTCAGAGCAATCAATTCAGCCTTCTGAGCAGATGTGCTGGAGTGTAATGCCTTGCTTCCACTGTTGTTTCCACCATAGTAACAGCAAATCCTGATACCCGTTTTCCTTCCTTGCTTGAATAAACTTCTTCAATAGTTTGCAGGCAGTCGTTTTCAGGACTGCCCTCAGTCTGTTGGGCCAGATGGAACATTGCAGGGTTGACAACAGCTGTAGTTTTCAAAATTACATAATCTTGTTCCGAAAGTACTTCAACATTTGACTTGGGAGCAACCAGTGTCCGCCCTTCTGGTTTAGTACTGTAGCTACCATATGTGAGACATAAACATTTATTCTTTGTCCTATGGTAAGCTTTCAAGCTTCTTCTATTAGCAACACAGTTGCTGAGACTGCTCTCAGACACCCAGGACATCCCTGACTCACTGTGTCCAGTTGTTTGGAGAAATAGGCTACCACTTATCTACTTTCTGACAAGTCCATTGCAGAGGTCCTTTTGACACTTCCAGTAATTCATATAAGGGTTTTGCCATTAGTCCATAATTAGCGATCCATAAACGATACCATCCTATCATTCCTAAAAATGGTCTCAGCTCATGGACATTTTGGGGTTCTGGAAGAAAATGAGAGAGTGTCCAAAACCGAAGGCTTTACTCTAGTGCTGAAGGAGAACACACACACTGCTAGAATGAGCAGAAAGGGAAAAGATAGAGCATCTCGTGATCTGCAAACAGTTTTATCTTTCCCTCTGAACAGAAAACGGAAACAGAACAACACAAAGTCCTCTGGAGTATGTAGTTGTTCTTCTCTTCTGAGAACCAGGTACCCGAAACTATCGACAATCCACAGACCTGGAGTGTTAACTCTTTAACTCTCAGTGCACTACATGATGTTATGATGTGGAATACTGATAACAAAAAATCATAAAACCATGACAACTTCCCATCCACTTTCTTAATAGGCAATATCGGGGTGTTATACTTAGACTCACATTTCCTTAATAAACCATGTTTTAAGAATTTTTGTATGAGAGGTATCAATCCTATCTTAGCTTCTAATTTTATAGGATATTGTTTCAGCCTTAGCCGTACCAATCCTGGCTTTAGATCTGATCTTACTGGCTCAGCTCTCTTTGGTCTTCCAGGCACCTCCCCTGCCCATACGAAAGGCACGACTGCAGCTTCAACTTCAGCTGAAATTCCTTTCTTTTCTGGCTTGACTTCCTGTGACAATAACACTGCAGCTTGGACAAATTTAGTCCTTTAGTTCCTGTGTCAACCAAACATTCTATTTCAGTTTCATCTTCCCCCAGCTTAATTTTAACCAGAGGCTCTGCTGGGGAAAATGCCTCCAGTCCCCTTCACTCCGTAGCTTCCACAGCTAACACAGGTTTCCTAGATCTCTGTAGATATGGACATTCTTGCTTCCAATGTCCCTCCTCCCTTCAGTTTGCACACTGTTTTTCCCCTAGCTGGGCTTTTGGAAATCTTCTGCCACGTCTGCTCCCCCTAAGTTCACAATCTCTAAATCCAACCCGAGGTTCCCCTCGGGGACCATGGGTCCCTTCCAGGGCAGAAATCAGCCTAACGCTTCCTTTTTCCTTCTGCTGTTCTCTATTTCTATGAACTAACCAAGCCATATCCAGCAACTTCCCTAGATCTCTAGCATCTATGCCCCTTGTAACTTCTCAGCTTCTTTTGAATATCATCGGCAGATTGGCCAATAGAAAAAGTTGCTAACTGACTTCTCCCTTCTTTTGATTCAGGATCAAGAGTTGTATACTTTCTAGTGGTTTCCTTTAATTTATTCAGGAAGTCACTTGGGGATTCTTTTCTATCTTGCTTAATCTCATATAATTTCGACCATTTTCACGGAGTTATCTAGATCAGTCTGTGTCTGTGACGGGGGCAGCAGGCCTGTATCCCCCCTGCCCAAAAAGGGAAAGGGAGAGGAGGAAGGTAGGGAGATGGGAGCTGGGCCCAAAGACAGAACAGTGGCAACGATCTGAGGAGGAAAATTAATTTTACTAAATATGATATCAGAATGCAAGATAACACAATATAGTGCAATATAATTGGAATTGAATCTAATAAATAAAATGAGAGAGTGTTCGAAACCAAAAGCCTTACTCTGAACTGAAGGTGAAATGGCTGGGGAGCACACCCACACACTGCCAGGCAGCGAGAGACCAAGCGAGTCCCGTGACTTGCGGGTCTTATCTTCCCCTCTGAATGCAAAGTCCTCTGGGGTATGTAGTTGTTCTTCTCTTCTGAGAACCAGGTATCCGGAAAGTTGTCAGTCCATGGAACTGGAGTCTTAACTCTTTAATTCCCCGTGCTTTACATGATGCTATGATGTGGAATACCGATAACAAAAATCATAAAACCATGACCACCAGTTTATTGCCTTTGGTATTGCATTTCTTAAAGCAACCAAAAAAAACCCTTTTCTGATACTGTGTTTGCAGCAACTTATCTCCATTGTCCATGGAGGGAAAGTGATGTTCTAACTGCCCTTGCAATACCCCTGCTGCTACCTGAGCCTCCACTTGAGTCCTTGCAGTTTTGCGAATCATTTCTTTTTCTGTACTATCAAACAACACCTGTATGACAACTTCTATATCTTTCCAGTCCGGATCCTGGGTTGTAACCATGATTTCAAAAGCATTAGCTATCCATTCAGGATCATCTCGATAGCTACCAGCAGCTGTTTTCCAATTGTTTAAATCTGTAATTAAAAGGGTACCTTAACTACAACTGGACCATCATTTCCAACTGCCTTCCTCAGCAGGGCTTGTAGCACAACCTTATACCAGCTGCAAGTCCTCTCTGCCACCGGCATTGTTCCTATAGTCCCTCTTTCATGCTCATTATCCGACCCCTTTGCCCCAGGGAGTCCAGGCCCATGCTCTTGGGGACTCTTGAGGGTTACTAACATCTCTAAATCTTCCTCCTGCTGATTTAGCTTCAAGCTTCTCTGTCTAGTACTACATGCTGAATAACACCTTTTTAACACCTTTCCTTTCTCCCTCTCTCTTTTATCCTTTTCTAGTGCCAAAATCGGAGGGTCATTTGGGGCCAAATTGATCCCACACTTCTTTTGCCATTCAGGATGTTGCCTCAATATAAAGAACGTATCAGCATATAACACCTCATCCCACACAAAGTGTACAGAGGTGACCTGAACCAATAGCATCTAAGTTCATTTGCTAGACCTCTATATGTTGAAAACACACACCCTTCTGCTCCAGAAGGTTTAGTAGTAGTGTTTCCAGTCCTACTGTTGTTCATACTGAGATGTTGAGTTGGATGTGTTTTTTTGTCACTGTCAGACTGTGGGACAATGGTTGGGAAAATGATTTCAGAAAATCCTGCTTATGTCCTGTTACTGTAACAAAGGAGATTGAATGCCTTTCCTTAATGAACCATGCTAACTGTAAGCTTGCGTGGCAGAATGTAGAGTGCTGGTGTTGCTGTTGGCTGGCAACTCTCACCAAAGTCTGGTGTCAGTAGTAATCTTTTCTGAAAAGAGAAGTGCTGAGATGACTCTGATTCCTGGTGGGGTTTGCAGAATTGGAGACTAGGAGTAGTCTTCATAAGGAATGTTTTCACCAAGAATAACTGAAAATCAGATTACTTCCACATTTCTCTACAGGTTTGAACTACATGGTAAAGTAGATGTTCTCAGTTAGCTAGACAGTAAGGATGCCAAGGGAAGGGAACAAGCATTATTATTGGAGCAACCAGTGGTTCTCTTCCTGCTGTGTTACTTTATATAGCATATTGAGGTTGAATGCTTGGTATATAACATATACTTTTAAATGTGTTGTGTTATGTTGTGTCCTGTCTTCTAACTCTTTTCAATTGAGACTGATATTTTGCTGGTTGTATTAATAATGAAGGTAAGAGTATCTTGTCTTGCATCCCTCTTAGCACCTTAGAGGGATTCACAGCTTCTGCAAGTGTTAAAATGCATGCTCAAATGCACTAATTTAGTTGAACAATGTTGTGGTTGTTAATCTTGATGCTAATTATAAATAAATAAATAAATAATCTTTTTTACGCTTGCTTGGTTAACCACTCTGTTATTTCCTGTCTCTTTCTTTCATCAGGTAGTTGGCAAAAAAGGAGAGAGTCACTAGGATGTGCAAGACACTGGAAGGCCTTATTCCAATCAACTGAGATCTTCATTTTATCTACAACTTCCAGATAATTGCTTAACCCTAGCCAGAGGGTTTCATTTAATGCTATTACCAATAAATAACTGTTTTTGTTGAGATGCAGTTTCAGTAGTGTGTTACTGTTGTAATCCTCATTATGTGTATTTGTAAATAAAATTAATTGCTTTTATCAACTTTAAATTTGTTATTCTGATAATGGTGACTCTTCAATTATTCCTTTTAAACTTCAAAACTGGGCTGGCTTATAGTAGAGACAGTAGATGTAATCTAGCTTCTATTTGTTGAGGGAGTGTAAAATGTCAAATATAAGTTGACTAGAGATGGCTTTTCATAGCCATCGGAAAGTATAATCCAAAGCAACTTTGTTATGAGACAGAAGGAACTTAAGGTCATTGTCTGCACAAAGAGCAGATATTTCTCAGCTGGCAATAACTCTTCCTCTTTGAGAAATTTCTGTTTCTCTCCCCACCTCACAGGATCCGAACCTTCAGGTCTGTCCCACATGGCATGCTGTTACAAGCTGTTCGGTAATGTCATGGTTTTATAATTTTGTTATCGGTATTCCACATCATAACATCATGTAAAGCACGGATAATTAAAGAGTTAAGACTCCAGTTCCGTGGACTGAAAACTTTCCGGATACCTGGTTCACAGAAGAGAAGAACTACATACCCAAGGGGACTTCACATTCAGAGAGGAAGATAAGCCACGGAAGGAAGTCACGGGATCTCACTCTCTGGCACTCTCTTGCTCGCTGCCTGGCAGTGTGCAGATGTGCTCCCCAGCCATGCGCCTTCGGTTCAAAGTAGGCCTTTTGGTTTCAGACACTTTCTGTTTTATTTTATTTGATTTTATTAGCCTCAGTATCAATTATATTGTATTATATGGCATTATCTTGAATTACAATATGATATTTAGTAAAATTAAGTTTTCCTCCTTAGATAGTTGCTGCTGTTCTGTTTTTGGGCCCAGCTCCCATCTCCCTACCTTTCCCCTTTTCCCTTCCCATTTTGGGGCCAGGGGGCAGGGGACAGGCTGCCCCCTGTCACAGCCACAGATTGATCGAGATAACTCCATGACAGTTTTTCTACTCCTTATTCTGCATCACTACATCTTGCTTAATATCTATACATATATTAAAAAAAACTGTAAGTAAAATGCATTACACACACATGTCTGTTCACATATATATACATAGAATTACTGACTGTGCTCCCCCAACATGAAATTCCCTTGTGGTACACATGGAACATCCCCGTTTTTCTGCATCACCCACCAAGCGCACAAAGGTCCCTGGGCAAAAACAGTTCCACGGAGAGATTTGTCCTTTTCAGAGGCTGGAAGGACCCAAACCGCTTTTCCCAACTTGCTCTTTACATGTACTACAGGGACCTTATCTCTCCCTGTACAGTATGTAGGGAGCTGGATTGGGTGGGACCATCATGATTGATAGATCCTCTGGTATTGACTAACCAGGTGGCTTCTGCCAAATGCTTCTCCCAGTGCTTAAATGTTCCACCACCCATTGCTTTCAACATGGTTTTTAACAACCCACTGTATCGCTCAATTTTACCAGAAGCTGTTGCATGGTAGGGAATATGGTAAATCCACTCAATGCCATGATCTTTGGCCCAAGCATTTACAAGAGAATTTTTGAAATGAGTCCCATTATCTGACTCAAATCTGTCTGGAGTGCCATGTTGCCATAGGACTTGTTTCTTGAGGCCCAATATGGTGTTTCGGGCGGTAGCATGGGGTACTGCATATGTTTCAAGCCACCCAGTGGCACCCATTTTTATACTTTTGCCATCTCCCTTCCTCCCAGAGTGGTTTCATCTTCTTTGCTTGTTTGATTATAGCACATGTTTCACAGTCATGAATAACCTGTGCAATAGCATCCACAGTTAAATCCACCCCTCGGTCTCTAGCCCACTTATATGTTGCATCTCTCCCCTGATGGCCCGAGGTCTCATGAGCCCACCGAGGTAGAAATAATTCACCCTTGTTCTGCCAGTCCAGGTCTATCTGAGCCACCTCAGTTTTGGCAGCTCTTTCCACCTGGTGGTTATTTTGCTGTTCTTCAGTAGCCCGTCTCTTGGGCACATGAGCATCTACATGGCGTACCTTCACGAGCATATTCTTTATTTGGGCAGCAATATCTTTCCACAGTTCAGCAGCCCAAATAGGTTTACCCCTTCTTTGCCAGTTATTTTGCTCCCACTGCTGTAACCACCCCCACAAAGCATTTGCCACCATCCACGAGTCAGTGTAAAGATAAAGCATTGGCCACCTCTCCCGTTCAGCAACATCTAACGCCAGCTGGACAGCCTTTACCTCTGCAAATTGGCTTGATTCTCCTTTTCCTTCCGTGGCCTCTGAAACTTGTCATGTGGGGCTCCACGCAGTAGATTTCCATCTGCAACTGTTACCCACAATACGACACGATCTGTCCGTGAACAGGGCATATTTCTTTTCATTTTCTGGTAGTTCATTGCACGGTGGGGCCTCTTTAGCTTGCGATACCTTTTCTCCTGATGATGTTCCAAACTTGTTACCGCCAGGCAATTCCATGATCACCTCTAGGATTCCTGGATGACTGAGGTTCCCCATCCAAGCTCGTTGCGTAATCAACGTGTCATGGTTTTATGCTTTTGGTTTTCAGTATTCCACATCATAACATCATGTAGTGCACTGGGAGTTAAAGAGTTAATGCTCCAATTCTGGGTAACTATTACCCTATATATTTATGAAAGTCATGGGATCTGGCCCTTCTGGGTGGGGCGATCTCTTACTGCCTCGCAGTGGGTGCTGGAGGGTGCTTTGCTAGCCATTCCAAGGTTTTCAGGTTTGACTTGGTCTCAGGAACTCTCTCTCTCTTCTGTCTTATTTGATTTATTAGTCTCAATTTCAATTAGATTGTACTATATTGTGTTATCTTGCATTCCGACATGGTAGTTAGCAAAATAAGTTTTCCTCCATAGATCATTGCTGTTGTTTTTTTTTTCCTTCCTTGAGCTCAGCTCCCATCTCCCTATCCCTTTTCCCTTTCCCTTCCCACTTCGTGGGGCCAGGGGGGCCCAGGGTACTACTGCCCCTCTGTCACGGGTGTAGATTGATCTAGTTAACTCCGTGACAGTTTTTGGTGGAGAATGCAGGCAATAGCTCCTTTTTAGCTTGTAGGTCAAATCTCTCTCTCTGATCTTGGAGAGCTTCGTTAGGGAGCATTATCAATAGTTCAGGTTTCTGTGCTGGTGTTGTCATAGGCGTTAACGAGATATCGGGCTGTGATGCAAAAGGACCCCCTGCTGTGTTGTAGTAGGCAATAACGGGGTATCGGGTTGTGACACGATAGGACCTCCCCTGCTCTGTGAGTAACGTGTGAGTAACACGTGACGCATGCTTAGGGGGCTTAGGTGAAACTGGATGTGTATTTAAGGGGTCATTGTGCCTTAATAAATTGCCATTTGCTTCTTCATCATATTGGTGTCAATGTTGCTATGGCCCTAGCGAATGCAGATCGCTAGCCCCTAGGCAGTGCGGCCTTTGTCACGGTGGTTGCCGGAGGTAACAGCTGGAAAACTTGACCTTGAAAGACCAGGCGTACTGCCTGTATTCTGGGATATTTGTTAACTTTGAGCACTGCTTAATCGGGGCAGTGCGTTTTCATTCATTTTTTTCTCTTCTTGTCAGCTTCCATTCATTAACACCTTTTTAGCAGATACCAGCCATGAACCCACTCTTCAACTTGAGTGTGCTGTGTAAGCAATTAAAAGCCATCATGTTACTCGCAACTTATTGGCCAATTATCAATGTCATGATTACTTGTTGAGGAATTGTGTTGATATATAACCAAATAAGGGCACTGATGGAGACACCTGCATGGTATTTATATACAATGTTGTATGATTTGAATTTTCAAATTTACATCCCAGATGGAATGGCTAATTTTACAAACAACATGATGTTCAGACCAGTTTCCAGGCTTTCTTCTCAGTTTGTCAGACTTTTTTCGAATTTCGAATTAATGCTCATTTTGGTGTGTGTGTTATCAGTCTCCCTGAATGTATTCCAATGCATTCGTGATAAGAGGAAGGAGTCTCTTCCAAAACCAGAGAATGCTGACTGGTGGGGAATATCACAGAATCACAGAATTGTAGGGGTTGGAAGGGACCTCCAGAGATCATCGAGTCCAACCCCCCTGCCAAAGCAGGATCCCTACACCAGGTCACACAGGTAGGCGTCCAGGCGGGTCTTGAATATCTCCAGAGAAGGAGACTCCACAACCTCCCTGGGCAGCCTGTTCCAGTGCTCCGTCACCCTCACCGTAAAGAAGTTCTTGCGCACATTGGTGCGGAACTTCCTATGCTCCAGCTTCTGGCCATTTCCCCTTGTCCTGTCTCCACATACCGCTGAAAAGAGTCCGGCCTCGCCACTCTGCCCCCCACACCTTAGATATTTATAGACCTGGATCAGGTCTCCTCGCAGTCTTTTCTTCTCAAGGCTAAACAGACCCAGCTCACTCAGCCTTTCCTCATAGGAGAGACGCTCCAGGCCCTTCACCATCTTTGCAGCCCTCCGCTGGACTCTCCAAGAGATCCCCGTCTTTTTTGTACTGGGGAGCCCAGAACTGGACACAGTACTCCAGATGAGGCCTTACCAGGGCAGAGTAGAGGGGGAGGATCACCTCCCTCGACCTGCTAGCCACGCTCTTTGTCATGGTTTTGTGATTTTTGGTTTTCGGTATTCCACATCATAACATCATGTGGGGCAGTGGGAGTTTAACTGTTGGTGCTCAAGCTCTGGGTACCTGCCTGGAAGAGAAGAAGAACTACATTCCCCAGGGGACTTTGCGGTCACAGAGAGTCTCGAGATACAACTCCTGGCAAGGTCACCTGATGCACTCTTCTTAGCCTGCTCTTCGTCGGCTCTCCTCCCCTTTTTTCTCCCTGCTGCTCAACTGGACTGCGCATCTCACCTCAGCTCTCCGCGTTGTGGTGAGGCCTATCCACCTTTCGGACATTCTCTCTCTCATTATATTTGATTTATTAGCTTCAAATTTAATTATATTGTATTATAGTGTGTTATCTTGCATTCCG